CAACCCTAAAGAATAATGTAGAATCTGCAAAACACCACATAATGTGGATGAACTTGGAGGACATTATGCTGAGTGAAATAAGTCAATCACAGAAGGGAAAAATATATTAGTCCATTATTGTAAAAAGTCAAGGAACGGTTTTTACTTGGAAGGAAATTTTCTTTGTTGCTTACCATGGGTGGGAGGGGAGAGGAGGGGACACTGTTAAATAAGTAGAGATAAGTATTGATTTGGGGGAAGGGAAGGGCAATGTACCAAATGTGAGTGATCAACACAATGGCATTGAAGAAGAGGAAGACATAGAGAGGTACGTGGGAGGTACAGACAACAAAGATGAACCCTTTTATACATGCAGTACTGCGTTGTCGGTGAAGGCAAACATTGATTTACTGGTGGATAGATGGATAGACAGGCTGAACTATTAGGTAAGGTCTATCTATGCAGGGTGAGTGTGTCCATGACCATGTATGGGTTGGCAGACAATGTGTCTACAAGTGTATTTGTATGTTTTATAAGAATTCCCAGGTATATAGTAGAGATGACAAGGAACAAGGTTGTAGTCACTTCTTGGCCACAGCCAGTTACCCAGAGGGAGCAAGTCATTGAACTTTTGGGCTCGGGACCATAGTTGCAGTGGACATCAAGATCAACTGGTCTAACATACTACACAAAAACATTGTTCTACATCCTACTTTGGCAAGTAGCAACTGGGATCTTAAAAGCTGGCAAGTGGCCATCTGGATGCAACGAAGGGTCTTTTGTCTTCCAGAGCAAAGAAGAATGAAGAAAACCAAAGACGCATGGTAACAATTAGTCCAAGGGACTGGTACACTATGTGATCCTCAGTCTATACAACTATGAGACCAGAAGAACTCGATGGTGCTCGGCTACCACTGTCAACCACTCAGTTGTTGTTGTTACGTGCTGTGGAGTCAGACCTGACTCTTAGTGACCCCTCTCCCTCTTTGGGTTTCTGAGGCAGTATCACTACAGAAGTACATTGCCCAGCCTTCCTTCCTAGGAGTGGCTGGTAGGTTTGAACCACCAGCCTTCTGGTTAGCAGTCAAATGCCTTAGGCTCTACGCTACCAGAGCTCCCCTTGGAGGGAGCTCTATGTAGGAGATCCTGGATAGAGTAGGAGAAGAATGCGGAACAAAACTCAAAATCATTAAAAAAAAAAAAAAGGACCAGGTTTGCTGGTGTGATAGAGACTGGTGGAACCCCTGAGACTATGGTCCCTAGCTGCCCTTCAGGTGGCTTTTAGCCAAACAAAAGCCAGGTGTATAAGCTGAACATTTCCATTAGGTAGACACACTATTTGGAGAGATCAATCATGGGAGAATAGTATGCACAGGGAGACAGCTGGAGGGGGGCGGCAGGAATGTATGGGAGGGAAGGACACAGGGAAGAGGTAACGATGGGGAGGAAGTAGGAGGACAGCTGTTGCATTGTGGGAAATTGCAGTCAATGTCATGAGACAAAGTGTATGTGAACTGCTATATGGAAAGTAAATCTGCTATGTAAACTTTCACCCAAATCACAATAAAAACTTTAAAAAAAAAAACAAACCCACAGCCACAGTCTAATCATGAGAAAAACATCAGACAAATCCAAATTGAGAGACATCGTACAAAATACCTGACCAATACATCTCAAAATTGTTGAGGTCATCAAAAACCAGGAAGTCTGAGAAACTATCACAACTAAACGAAGCCTGAGAAGACTTGCTAACTAAATGTAATGTGGTGTCCTGGATGGGATCCTCAGAGAGGAAATGGGTATTAGCTAAAACTAAGGAATCTAAGGGAGCTCTGATGGCATAGTGTCTAAAGCATTTGACTGCTAACCAGAAGATTGGTGGTTCAAACCCACCAGCCACTTTGCAGAAGGAAGACTGGGCTATCCACTTAACGTAGAGATACCATCTCAGAAACCCAAGGAGGGGGGCTTATGAGTCGGATGAACTTTAGTTAATAATAATGTATAAATACTACTTTGTTAATTGTAGCAAATGTACTACACTAATGGGAGATATTAGTAATTAGGGAAACTGTTCAGAGTATACAAGAACTCTGTACTATTTCTTCATACTTCTATAAGTCTAAAAAAATAAGATCTATTAAAGAAAAACTTAGATTTCAAAGACAATTTGCACACACTCTGGGTGTTTCTGACTTCTTCTCTTGCCCCCAACCTCCCTGCACAGTCCTACCCAGGCCTCCTCCTATCTTCTCTACTGTTAAGAGAACTTGAGCCTGCTTTCTCGTGATCTAAGTAATGTGAACTTCTGACAATTGTTAAGACAAGGAATGATGTGGTTAGATTGCTAGATAGATTGTGGGATTTGGAGAGATAGTAAGGGAGGCCAGCTTGCAAGCTATTGTAATAGTTCAGGTGAGATGTTATTTTAATCTGAGCTTGGGAGGTGTTAGTAGGGATAGGGAGAACTTGATCATTGGTGAGGGGTGGGGAAAAGGAGGAGGAATGAGGAATGGTGACAGTGTCTCTAGCCGCGTTGACTGTCCATGTGGTGGTGTCTTTACCCAAGAAAAAACAACTAAGATATAGACACATATCTTCTGTGTGTGGTGAAAGAGCTTCAGGCATTCTCATGACAGCCTACTTGAGAAGATGTGGTTAAGTAGTTCTTCTCAGGGTTTGTCCCAGGAAGATTAAGGTCCCAAGTCCAGTTGTGAATGATGACAGTAAAGGTATGGAAATGCCAGGAAGCCAGGTGAAGGAGGAGAATAATGGCTGCATGACCGTAGATCTGTATTTCTCTGACCTACAATGTTTGGGGGCTCCACAATTCCAGCTACCACACCTTTACGTCCTGCAGTGATTCTGAAGGCCAGTCCCAGGGAGTGTCTCCTTTTCCTGCTTAACCAGATTTTGATTCTATAGCTTTTCTAAGACATTGTTTAGTCAAGAAGGCAGTCCTTAAGACTCTTTGGGACCATGAGCAGACCCTACATAGGGAAAATGCAGGCAGAAGGGCCCAGCGATGTCTCCAGTAATCATATGAGAGCCCTCAAAACTCCCTGGTGACTTACTAGTCTGTTCCCTCCTTCACTTGCGGAGATGAGTCAGGGGATAGAGAGTGTAGGGCTGAGCTTGACCAATGGCTAAGGTTAGGGTATTTGTGGGTAGTGTGAGGCAGTGTTAGACTGAGATAGATAAACCATCTACCCCAAACCAGAATAACTTATCATCTCTCTGTGACTGGTAGGTGTTGTTTTCAGGTATTGCATGAAGTTGTTTTGTTTTGATTTGGTTTTGGGTTTCTTTCTTTGTGAGAAGATGTTGAATGTATGGAGCAGTTTTGAGAGCAAAATCAGACAGGGGTCAGGACATTTTTCTTCCTTGGAGAATTGACCAAGAAGTCAATTACTACAATGGATCCACACATGTTTTTTTTTTTTTTTTTTTTATGGTGCAGGACAGAGAAGAAGAAACCAAAGAGAACACAGGATCCCAGAAGTTGCAGGATTTATTATATATCATTGTACACACTCACAGATTCAGCCATAATACTAGGGTGAAATCAGAGTTATGGTAATCACAGTCCTTCAGGCAGAGGCTCTAGTCACCTGAGGTTGGGATTAGGCTCACTGGGGGGTGGGAGCTGGACAGTAACTTCCCCTTCCCCTCACCCTCATCAAAGAGACAAGGAAACATGCAAAATGACAGGATCAGATAAGTTCACATATGAGGCAGGCTGCCCATGCTAGGGAGCTGAGGTAAGTGGGGGAGTGGCCCTCTCTTCACTTGTTTGGGATGGCCTGGGGGCCCCAGAGACACTCGGGGGAGTTACTTGTGTTCGAGGGGACACTCCACCTCCTGCTTCTGCTGCTGTTGCTCTGTAGGGAGCAAGATCTCTCCCGTTGGGGGCTGGACTGGCTGGATCTCTTGGACTTGGTCCTGATCAGGAGCTGGGTCAAGCACAGGCTGCTCCTCCTGCTGCACTGATGGCTCTGGCCGCTTCTCCTGGTGCCCCAGGTGCTCCACAAGCTGCTCTTCTTTCCTTTCCAGTTGCTCATCTTTCTTCGCTAGCTCTTGATCCACTTGCTGGTCCAAGAGCTTCTTCTCTTGTTCCAGCTGCTCCTTCGGCTGCTGCTCCTTTTGTGCTTTCTCTGGCTCTAGTTGCTGCTCTAGGTTTTCCGCCTCCTGATGTTTCTGACATTGTTCTTGGTGCTGCTGTTCTCGCTCCTGAGGTTCCTGTTGCTGCTGCTGTTCCTGGTGCTGTTCCTGCTCCTGTGGCTCCTGCAGTTTCTGGGGCTGTTCCTGCTGCTGCTGCTGGGGCTCGGGCTCAGGCACCCCCTTCACAAGAGTAGTGTGTTTCTCTTCCTGCTCCAAGGGGACCTCCACTGGGAGCTCAGAGGGCACCTTCTGGCACGGGGCAGGCAGTGGAGTTGGCTGCTTCACTTGCTCCTCTTGGGTACAGACGGGAGGAGAAACAGTCTGGAGGGGTTGTTGACCGAGGGTGGCAGGGAGGGTCACTGGCAGTGTGTGCTGCTCAGACATCTTGAAGGCTACTTTAGGTCAACCTGAAAAACAGGAAGGGTCAGAGGGGCAGACTGAAAGCAAAGGGAGTAGATAAAAAGCCTCTGGAAATTCTGCATCAGTACCTGGCTTCTGAGGATCCCTGTGCTTCCCTTGGGGGCCCCACCCAGGTTATTACTCCCCAGAAGCAGCAGAGAGTTCAGGGTGGGTGTGGGGCAGGGCAGGAAAGAGCCCTCATGGAAACCTCCTTTTCTATTCTGTAGGGATGAGATGGATACTATTTAACCTTCTGCTCTTGTTTCTGACCCTCACTTCTGCCCTTATCTCTGACTTCCACTGCCCAAGGAGGAGACAAGAGTTCTGAGATTATATTACCACACAAGGTAAGGTCCTAAGAAAAGAAAAGTCCCCTAGAGGACTCCTTCCTCCTAGAAAACCAAAATCCTGTGGTGGAGAGTCTCAGAGAGGTCATGGTGAGAGTCCTGGAGTGGAGGCACAAGACCTAGTCTAGTCTTACTTCTTCCACTAAATTGCTGTGTGTTTCTAGGCAAGTAACTTAACCCCTCTGCAAAATTAGCAGACTAGTTCCACCCCAGAGCTGCTGCTTCTCCTGATCCTTTGAACTTTAGCTATTGTCGCACTGCCTGGGTGATGTGAGGTGGGGCTGGAAGATTGCTGAGGGCTGGCAGCTGGTTCTTTCAAGTCCTGTGCTTCTAAGTTGGATTTTCCTTCCCCTGTTCTGCCTGAATTTCTCCAAATAGAAAGAACCCCATTTTTGTGCAGCACTTCCAAAGATTACAAGTGTTTATATGAAATCTCCTGCCCCTCAAAAGAAGGCAAGATCATATTCACCCTAAGTCAGACAGTTTTAGAAAAGAAACGGAGTCCTTTTCCACTCCTCCCCTAGATTACTTCTCTCACACATTATAAATAAATAAATGAAAGCATTTGGCCAAGTCAGATCATGGCTACCCCATGTTTGTCGGAGTGGAACTACTCCATAGGGTCTCCAATGGCTGATCCTTCAGAAACTCATCACCAGCCCTTTCTTCCAAGATGCCTCCTTGTGGATTCCCTTTGTCAACCTTTTGGTTAATAGCTGTTGAGTTAAGCACTTGCCCCACCCAAGAACTCCTTCTCTCAAGCATACTAATCCCAAAATATGGTCCTAAAAAAGTTGGGAGGTGAGGGATTTTTGTTCTCTGTTTGGCATTTTCTGCTCAAAGGCATATTTCCCTTAGCACAGTAAACTGAGTCCTCTGGGAATGGAAGGTAGTCCAGAAGAATCCAACCAGAGAGTGATTCCCATACCCACCTGGGCTGGTTAACCCCCAACTGTATCTGGCCAGCCAGAGCCCACCAGTGCCAACCCCGCTCTGCCTGCTGATACTTACCAGGCTCACAGCAAGGACTGAGCAAGAGGCTTCTAGCGGAGTGCTCAGCAGAGGCCAGGGCATGCTTTATATCATTCCTGCCTGGTCTCCTCCCCAGACTGAAGGAGATGGACTGGTTTCACCACTCAGGTTGGTCGACTTCCTCCAGCCCCTCTCTGACTCATCAGAGGCACCCTAAGCAGCAACCCCCTCAGGGCCCCTTTCCACGGGGACACATAACTCCTATCTTACCAGATGGTTCAGTGGGCTCAGTCGCTCCTGTGATGCTCAGCTGACCTGGGCACAAGAGGGGAAGGAGACATCTCAGACACCTGCCCCCTTTTCCTATGTTTTTGTGACCTAGCTAAATTCCTCCTCTGAATCTCCATATCTTCACCTGTAAAATGGGATTATCTTCATCATTAGGCTGAGGGATTCATTTCCAAGGACATGGAATGGAATGTTATGTATATTTCTGAGATGTCCAGCCCTGGGTATATTGTAAAAAGAAGAGAAGATTTACTTTTCATGTTAAGGAGGGAGTTGCTGAAGGGTAATTTTGGCCACAAGCTTTGAATCCCATTCTCTTTTGAGATGTATCAATACCTCTATTCTCTGTGGAAATAAGCTCTGTTCTGGGGGTGTCTTCCTTTAGGACATATTGGGTCAAGTAGGTGGCTTCTTGGAGTCTCCTGATATGTGCCACGGGCTGTCCAACCTCCATGCCTAATTTTGGTTATAGATAAAGATGTTCACAAGAATGTCATGCTTATAAAAGCTCCAAAGAATGGACCACTCTGGGAAGGAAACAGGCATTAAATACACACACACACACACACAGCCCTGGTAGTGCAGTGGTTAAAGCAATCAAATGCTAACTGAAAGTTCAGCAGTCTAAATCCATCAGATGTTCTGCAGGAGAAAGATGTGTCAGTCTGCTTCTGTAAAAATTAGAGTTTTACAGCTTTGAAAACCACATAAGGCAGTTCGACTCTGTCCTATTGGTTGCTATGAGTCAAAATTCAACTAACAGCAATTTTATATATATATATATATATATATATATACATATATATATACATATATATATATAACACACACACAAAATTATATATAAAATACCAGAAGTCTGGCAGTTCAAACCCACCACCAGTCACTCCTTGGAAGGAAGATTGGGCAATCTATTTCCATAGTGACACTGCCTCAGAAACCAAGGAGGGGTCCCTATGAGTTGAATCAACTCAACAGCAGTGTGTTGTTTGTTTGTTGTGTGTATACATATATATATATACACACATATATATATATATACATACACATACATGTACACACACATGTATATATGTATGTATGCATGTGTGTGTATGTATTTGCTGTGGTTACATGCCTTCATGTTGATTCTGACTCGTAGAGACCCTATGTACAAATACAACAGAACAAAACACTGCCTGGTTCTGCACCATCCTCACAATCATTGCAATGTTTGAGCCCATTGTTGCAGCCACTGTGTCAATCTGTCCCATTGAAGATCTTCCTCTTTTTGCTGACCTTTTATCAAGAAAGATGGTCTTCTCCACTTACTGGTCCTTCATAATAACATGTCTGAAATATATGAGATAGTGACTCACCATCATTGCTTCTAAGGAGGATTCTGGTTGTACTTCTTCCAAGACAGATTTGTTCATTCTCCTGGAGGTCCATTGTCTAGTCAATACTCTTTGACACTATCATTCCAAGGCATTAATTCTTCTTCTGTCTTCCTTATTCATTGTTCAGCTTTCACATGCATTTAAGAAAATTGAAAATACCACCACTTGGGTCAGGAGCACCTTGGCCTTTAAGGTGACATCTTTGCTCCTTAGCATTTTAGAGAGGTCTTTTGTAGCAGATTTGCACAACACAATATATCTTTGATTTCTTGACTGCTCCTTCAATGGGTGTTGATTGTAGATATGAGTAAAATGAAATCAGTATTTTCTCTGTTTATCATGATGTTGCTTATTGATCCAGTTGTGAGGATTTTTGTTTTTTTATTTTGAGATGTAGTCCATACTGAAGGCTGTAGTCTTTGATCTTCATCAGTAAGTGCTTCAAGTCCTCTTCACTTCCAGCAAGCAAGGTTGTGCCATTTCACTATGCCTTCAGAGCTCCCGTGTCATTGCATAGCTCAGGTTGTTAATGAGTCTTCCTCCAATCTTAAATCCACATTGCTCTTCATATGGTCCAAATTCTTGGATTATTTGCTCAGTATACATATTGAATAAGTATGGTGAGAGGAAACAACCCTAACACACACCTTTCCTGATTTTAGACCATGCAGTATCCCCTTGTTCTGTTTGAACGATTGCCTCTTGGTCAATATATAGGTTCTTCATGAGCATAATTAAATGTTCTGGAATTTTCATTCTTAACAATGTTGTTCATAATTCATCCACATAGTCAAATGCCTTTGTATAGTCAGTACAACACAGGTAAACATCTTTCTAGTATTATTTACTTTCAGCTAAGATCCATCTGACATCAGAAATGATATCTCTTATTCCATTTCCTCTTCTGAATCTGGACTGAATTTCTGGCAGTTCCACGTCAATGTACTGCTATAAGCATTTTTAAATTATCTTTAGCAAATGTTTACTTGTGTGTAATATTGGTGATGTTGTTGGATAATTTCTGCATTCTGTTGAATCATGTTTATTTGGGATGGATCCAAATATGTGTCTCTTCCAGTTGATTGGTCAGATAGCTGTCTTCCAAATTTCTTGGCATAGACAAATGAGTGCTTTGAACATTGCATATGTTTGTTGAAATATCTCGATTGTCATTCCATCAATTCATATTTTTTTGAGGGGGAGGGGGAGGTCGGCAGGGGAATGCATAAAGGTTAAAGGACAAAACCAAATCATTCACTTGCTTTCTCTAAACAATTCTCTAAAATAGCTAAGTGATCTTTCAGAGTGGGAATAGGAGCGTGTCTCTCCTACTCTGATAGCATTCCAGCACAACTGGAATAAAATCCAAACTTACTACCAAGGTTTAAAAGGTCCTGACTGACCTCCTTCTTACCTTTACCCTGAGCCTCAACTCACACAGACCTCTCTTTGACCATTGTGCTCCCACCTCACTGGGGTCTTCAGTTTGTATGACAAGTCCAGTGCTTCCCCACCTCAAGCTTGGTGCCTGCTCTCCCTCTGTTCATAGGTTCTTCCCCAGGTGTTGGGCTCCTTTGTTCCTTCTCAGTGCAAATGTCACTTCCTCAGAGAACCTTTCCTACTACCCTAACATGATACCTAAAGGATTATTCTCTGTTTTGCCTCATTCCACTAATAACAACCTAGAGTTACGTTATTTGATTTTGCTCATTTATTGTACATCTCCCCTATTAAAAAATAAACTCTAGAAAGGCAATGGTTTTGCTAGGGGTTTTGCACTGTATCCCCACAATTTATCAAAGTCACTGCACATAGCAAGTGCTTTCTAAATATCAGTTGCCTCTGGGTAATGTAACTGGTTAACATGCTTGTCTGATAACCAATTGGATTGAGATTTGTGTCTACCTAAAAAATAAAAAAATTCATGTCTACCTAGAGAATCCTGGGGGGTGGGGGAAAGGCCTGGCAATCTATTTTTGAAAACTTAGCCATCAAAAAC